AAAAAAAAAAAAAAGGTGAGCAGGGTGAGGAAGAAAAAGAAAATAAGAAACAAAGGAATGAAGAAGTTTTCGTCAACTCTCTTTTTTTTTTACATTTGAAAGGCAGTTTAACTCAAAAGAAAAAAGGAGAAACAAAGACAGTTTTACAAGCAGCGTACCAGTGAGAACAGCATTTAGCAGGAGAACACCCTAGAATCAAGAAAAGTGTGTCACTCCTTATGGAAAAGAGTACATATAATATGAATTTACATTCAATTGTGGTTAGAAAAAATGAAGCAACTGGAAACACCAAGGAAACTTAAAACTCACAATCCAGAGGTGAAGTGGAATAGCTGGTATATCTTGGGCTTAGTTAGACATACAACTGAGACAGCACATATTTGACTCATTATGCCCAGCATGAACAAGTTACAAATTTGTTGATACAGAAGTTTAACCTTTAACAAAGAAACCAAATTTTTGATCATTTTATTAAGCTACAGCACTTCATGGAAATACCAAAGAGCACGAACAACTGTCTAGTAAAAAGTCTGGAACACACTAATTTATGATAACTTATAAACCGATAGCAGAAAAGTGACTAAAGCATCGGCTATATTTTGAGATACATGTGTTCGAGTGGAAATGTTCATGTTCGAGATTCTTTGCAATAGCTAAAAGAACCACCAAAAGAAAAACCCAAGTTTTCCAGTCTTGCAACCAAATTTAAACGTTTAGAAAACATACACTTGCGTGACAACAAGCAGTCAAATAAACTAGAAAGGCTTAGGAAAGCCTTTTTTTGCATTGAATAAGAAGTAAATTTGGTTGCTCAATATTTCAATGATCCAGCTATAATAACCAAGGGAATATTTGTCATATATTATGAAATGCTCAAAATTCTATATTACAAGAATTCGGTATAGTTTGAGACCATCTTATTAAATTAAAAATTTCCAATCCAATTCTCAAGGTAACAAATTATATTTGAAGAGCTAGAATTGCACGTATAGATGCATGGCTCAGGCTGTCAAAATAACAAACAATGTGTACTAGCTCTACAGATGCAAATCTTTACCTGAACAGCCCATCTTTCTAGATTCCCTTTAGCTGGGATTGAACATCCCAAATCTTGATGAAGTTCTTTATATATGTTTAGAAGACTTGAAGGGACTTTGACACCGTCCGGAACAGAAAAAGAGAGCCCCATTGCCTGGCCTGGCCCATGATATGGGTCCTAGTGATATTCGAAAAAAGGATATCACCGATTAACAAAATCGTAAAACTGCTATATTGACTGAAGTTACCACTTATTGAGTTTAATAAATATCAACAGGTGGAAGTAAGATAATACTATTAGGTACTGAAATAAGAATAGGAACTATATGTTTCATCTATCACACAAAAAACATACACGCAAATGAATTTAGGTGATGGTCATAACATCAAGCACCAAAGAATTAACAGATTTGTCAGGTCACATTCCTTACCTGATCATGAATAAATCAGTCTCAAGGATCACACAATATGATTCTTCATTTTCTCTTACACATGCATCAAATAGCAGGCAACTTCAAATCAGGTGATGTGTTTTAGTTGCAGCTACATTGATGATAATATAGAAAAATTATATATGGATTAAAAAAAAATTGAAGGTCACCATTGACTAATTATCTTTTATGAAGACCCAATGTTCCTTGTGCAACAATACAGTATCTTAGATTACTTTTCTTAAATATTTTTCCTTAAGCTTCTTTTCTACACCAATACGAGCACACCCATTTCCAATCCAAGCACAATGTATACCTGTCCGATAATAACTGCCTTAACTCGGTCAAACGGAGTCGTGTTAAATGCATTAAAAATCAAATGCCGAGGAGGGTAAATTGGTACGCTGCCCTGGTATATTTCGTTTTCCACAAACGTACAGAGCTTTTTTGCATAAGGCTTTTGCAGCTCCCCCGCTAGCACTTTCAGCCATGTATCCTCCACCAGTAGCTCTTCCAACTTCACAGACGGCACTCCTTCATACCCATATCACACAAGAACAACAGTCTCAGGTGTTAAATCTTACAATATGCAGTGATGGATTTGAAAAGGCAAACTATTAGTCAGAAATCCACTGTTAACATAGCTATTATATTGGTAGGAGAAACACAATAAGAAATGTTACAAAAAACATTTCATTGAAAGAAACAAATGCATCAGAATATAATCAGGCTTGGCGCTTGGGTGACCTAAAACTGATTCGAAATTTCAATAGCAAAACATCAACATACCTGAAGCATCTGATTTGGAGAGTTTATCAGAGCAGATTTTGAGGTTTCGCTTGGATAAGGCGAGGGCTCTGTTGAATTCGATTCTTTGCTTCTGGTCCGAGGAAATAGCAACTGTTGACGATGATGAAAGAGGGCCATCAGAAGCCGCAGAGCAGGTCTTAAGGCGCTTCGCCGTAGCCGGCCGCTGTAATAAATCCATTAGGGTTTTGGAAGGAGCTGCCATTGATTCCTCTTTGATTCTTTCAGCTGTCTATGGCGGGAATAGCTCGCTCAATCGCGCCACCCCAAATATTGCAAAATTATGGGGCGTAAATTGGACCTCGAATGCTAATAAACATAGAGGTATATAGAGCATGCTTGGATATAAATTTGTTTTTGTTTTGATTTGGGTTGGTTAAATTTGAAAAAATAGGTATGGTTAGTTGTTAATGAATATAATGAAATAATATTTAAAATAAAATAATTAAAATTAAATTGATGTAAAAGTAAGAGAAAGAAAATGTGATGTGATAGTTAGTTAAATTTATGTGAGTAGATGAATAGTAAATTAAGGTTGATGTTGTGTGTAAGAATGATTGATTGATATTATTTAATTATATTGATAATATTAATGATAGTGGGTTGAGTTAAAGTTCAGTTACAAAAGTGGTTGAGTTAAAAATGTTTGAATTTTTTTGAGAAATTTTTGTATTCAATCATGCTCATGACACTCCTATGGATCCATAAGGGTCATTTAATTTCTTATTTTTGGTAGTGTTTTTACACCCCATGTAAACTATTATATGTACCTATAACATTTTTCGAGAGACATTTTTAAAATAAAATAAAATAAAAATTATCAATAAATATAAAAAATATAATAATGTACTTTATTATGGTAAAAAATAATAAGTATCTAGTTAGAAATATTTAAATTGTTCTTTTAATAATAATAAAAATAATAATTGTTCTTTTTTTAAATTAAGTTAGTGAAATTTGTAAAATACAAAAAAAAAAGTGAAGGAAATTGTGAACATTTCTTCTTTCATTTTCATTTACATGAGATAATTTTTTGTTGGTTAGAGAAAAATTTATATCATTTTTCATTTATATGTGATAATTTTTTGTTGGTCAGAGAAAAATCTATATCATATATATATATATTGAAGCAACATAGCATTAAATTGTATTATTCCGTCTAAAATTTTCAACATTTAATTATATGACTTCCAGGTCATGCCTAAACAGTTACATATTTGAGAGTAGAAATGAGGTGTATTTGAAGATTTTTTTTTTTTTTTTTAATTTGAAAACCAGACATATGACTCATATTTATGTGCAAATCGACTGTTGCAACCGAACAACGTGTATATTATTCAGGAAACCAAAAGAACATTTTTAAATATTATAAAATTCGTTCATTAATTTTTTGCAAAAACAAATCTATGTTTTGGCAAAAAAAAAAATAAATAAATAAATAATTTTTTTTTAAAGAAAACGACAAAACAAGCACTAAAATAAGATTTTATATCTAATCTACTTCTGAAATCAACTAATAACACAGTTTTACCAAAAAAAAATCTTATATTCTTAAGAAACATTACAGATCTTTATATGTTTGTACTATAATCACCCTAGAACCATTTTCTTATGATTCATTTAAGTATTTTAGCAAAATAAGGACGACAAATTTCAATAATAATAAAAAAAAATAGATTTTGATAGATCCATGATGTAATCGGTCTACTTGCACCGTTTTACTATGATTTAGTAAACCGAAATTATAAAATCATAATAGTTTTGATGTTATATCTATGTATTGTTTGAAGTTTCACATTTAAAAAAAAAAATCAAAATTTGATCGGAATATCTCGTTGGAAAAACAAAGAAAAACGCATGATAATTGGCAAAAAATAATAAGAAAAATGAGATTTGAGTATTTTTACATAGAGAAAAACGCGTGATCCGCCGATATCAAGAGAGAAATGAGTTTAAATCATGGAGTATTTGTATTATTCGAGTAGAAGGTTTTTTTCGTAATCCTTTCTATGATTTTTTTTTTTTCAAAAACAACATGTATTGGGTCTAACATGAAAGTTTTTTTTCACTCTTTGACTGAAATGCGCTTCGAAAAGTTTGTATGGTCTAGACAATTACATCGAACCTTAGGCTTCATTCATCAAAGTGGCAGTCCTTAGGGGCTGAAAAGAGCCCATATTAGCCTTACTGAGTATAATGGTCTAAGTCATCCTTACAGATTTTCTAATAAAAAATTAAGCTCAATTCACCACATTTTTTTAATATGTTATCGAGCTCAATTCAAAAACTGTTTATAATGCAATTATTTGTTCAGTAGATATTTTCGACCCAAATGTTTATATTGGCTAACAATTATAATAAATTTGACACACATTCTGTCCTTTTACCCTTTGAACAGGAACCGAAAACAGGCATACAAATAGCTTATATTATTTTGGCTTTGAGCTTTAATCTTTTTGATTAATTTTACAATTTATTACTACTTATAACATTATACATCGTTCATTTTGCTCGATCTTCATAACATGTCTATGAAGTATTTTCAGAATGACTCCAGAGAAGGTGAACTGGTACGAATGTTGCAAAGTAAAGATGCATCTTATCGGTAAAAGGAACAAGAATGGTCGGCAATACAATTTACCATTCACTTCTGAAGTTGTTGCCTTAGTTGTTGGCGATTTCAATGATGATATGGGCAATAGGGATATTATTGTAGAAAATCAAAGCAGACGTCTGCAGCGGATCAATGAGTTGAACACCTAATACTTGGCTCTACATTATCCTATTCATTTTCCATATGGTGAGGATGTTAGCGGAGTTATGCAACGGTAGCGTTTGTTTGTTACTAAGCTCAGCAGCCATGTCATCGAGTGCAGTATTTTAACTAGCGCCAGAGCTTGTAGGTGCTTAATCCAAGACTCACAATCATTCCTTCCGATTTTAGGGTACCGTTCAATTTCCAGCGCATACAGTTTCCTATCATTGTCTTCTATGTTATGACGATCAACAAGAGTCAAGGCCATTCTCTCTCACACGTTGGCTTAGTCTTGAAGAAAACTACTTTTTTCAGTCATGGACAGTTGTACGTTGCTCTTTCTAGTGTCACAAATCAGAAGGGTTAAAGATAATGATTTTGTGGTGATGGTGATTCCGACGATAGAAAAAATATGAATGTTGTATACAAATAAGTGTTTAATAATATTTAGAATTATTTTCTTAATTTATATTTTTTTTCATGAATTAAATTATGATTATGTATTTTTGTTTCTTCTTTTTATATTGTTATCTTTTCTAAGTATTCTCCTTCGTGTAAATGCACGGGTTGGTTACTAGTTTATATAATAACACAACTTATTGTGTATTTTAGGTATGTATTTTCCACCCTAAATTTTATAGTTAATAATGGAAATCCAATTAAATTCTACTTTTACAATTAGTTTAAGGATGTTTAATATTTTATTATAAACAATATTCGTTTTCTAAAATTAATATATGAAACTATTTTAATTTTTCATATTCTAATTAGTATAATGTGGTAAGTAACTTTGATGACTTTGAACTAAACCGAATCAACCATAAGTTTCCCACCTAAATCGTATGTTTATAATTTAAATTTTGAACGACAAATCAATATAGCTTTCGCCAACGAAGATCATTTTAAACCAATCGGTTACAAACTAGTAGTTCTATTTTTTTTTCTTTTGAAAATCTATAACTCTCTGGAAAAGAATAGCAGTTTCTTGAAACTTTTGAATTGCCAATAATGACCTTACTAAAGATAAGATTTAAGGTTACCAATGTAATTTTCTTATCAATGTTAGGAAGTTACAACTAACAACATTTTAACATTTGTTAAGTTTTTAAACCTCCACTTCTTAATTTACTTTTGTTCATTATCTTTTATTTTTTATACATAATTATATCTGCAAGTTTTTACACATACAAAATAATTATCTAAGCAAATTTATAGATTTTAAATAAATATTTTATTCTTATTTGTATTATTCAGAATTAATCTACATATGACGTTAGGTTTCGATTTGGTTATTTTAAAGGTAGTTTTTAAATGTGAGAGAAAAGGGGCACAAACGATACCCTTTCTTCTCCTCTAGAAACCCTCGCAGCTGCACCCTTAATTCCATTCATCGCACGCGCCTTCCCTGGCGATTAGCCGGCCCTTTCACCGGCGGATGACCCATAGCTTCGACATCCCGTCTCAATTTATCGCTTTCCAGTGCTCCTGCGCCGATGATGTTTCTCCCAAGCCCGTTGGCAGATCTCGTCGCTTCCTTCTTGCCGGCGGTGGTCTCGTTTCCTAGTTCTCTGAGTAGTGGCTATGGTGGCTGGCTTCCCTGCTCGTAGGATGGCTTCTTCTCAGCTCGGTCTCAGGTGGGGACTTGTCCGCTGCGCGGCGGGTTCGGGTGGCTTCAAGGAGGTGAGTAATTGTGGTTGGGATTGGGTGCGACCCAGGTGGCTTGGCTCGTTTGGGTCACGGTGGCCGGGGTTGAGGTGGGTTGGTTCGTGTCCCTGTGTCCTCTTCGCTGGTTGCGTGGAGTTGGATGCCCGATAAGGCCAAATTCTGACTAGTGTTTCTGGTCTGGTCTCGGGAAGCAGGTCTGTGGGTTGGGGCCGTTCAATCCTCCCGGGCTTTGGGTCGGCTACATCCTTGGAGTGGTTCGAGGCTTGGGACTCAGCCTTTGCTAGGCTTTAGGCAGTGGCGGGAGTAGTGTTCCGACTTTCGCGTAAAACTATAGGGTGTTTGGTCCTGATTTCGCTAATGCCTTGTGTTGGGTTCGGTTATCTCGCTGGGGAAGGGCTTTGTGTGTCTTTTGAGTAGGTTTTTAATTTGGATGTTCTCTTTGTTTGTTTGTGTTTTTGATTTGGGCCGTTGGCCTCCGTGCGCCCGAGTGTCACTCTGTACGCCCGACTGTCACCTTATTACCCTGTTGGGGTCCAACACTCGGGTATTACTCTATTGGGGTCCGACACTCGGGCAGTTGTTTTAGTTGTTTGTGTTGTTGGTTAGTTTAGTTGCGAGTGTATTTTATTCTAGCGTTGCTAACGGGGATTCTAGGCAGTCTTCTGACCTGTCCTCCCACTTTTTCAGCTGTATTCGCACATTTGTGCTTTTTGATTTATAAATTATAATATTATCTATCATTTTAGAAAAAAATAATGTGAGAGAAAATATTATTTTAATAATTT